TACTGTATGACTATTATTTATTCTGATATATTAAATAAAATATTACATACTTTCTTAGAATTTTTACTCACCAGAAACCAGCTAGATGTTTACTTTTTTCATTAATTTTTTTTTTGTTCCTATCAAATTATTTCAGAGACCACATTTACTATTTAATAGTAAAACAAAGAATTATGATAATTGTCTTTCTTTTCTTTTGTATCAATTCCCTACACTACAAAAATAAGAAATAACAGACACATGTATAAGACTTTACTTTTCTTGACTTGTTAATGTTCAAGACTTGAAATGCTGTACTTAGTTTTGCTAACTTTATTTATGGTATAAAGTCATTTGGAGGGATGGTAGTTCCTATGGTTAATACACTCATTATTCTGTTACAGTTCTAAATCATTTACTATTCATAAGTCTGTTACAAATATTGAAATATCAAAGAAGGACTGAATTCATTTGAAAGGATTTGAGAAATTACTTTGCTATGAGAAATGCTTTAACTTATTTTTTTTCTTTCAGAACTTACTCTTCTTCACGAATTAGAATAAAAGATTTAACAACTAAATAGACATGCAAAAGTAAAATGCTTCTTTTAGTACCTGTAGACATTGAAGAAAAAAAAAAAGCATCTGTTTCATTTTTTTTTTTTTTTTTTAAACTTTTCTTTGATGATATTTATTCAACTCTGCACAATGTCCAAATGTGGCATATGATCTTTTCATTGTGGAAACAAGTGTAAATATGGGTAGAGATAGAAAAATAAAAAAATTGTCTAGTTCTTGATTTTTTACATGCAATTCTATCGCTCTTCATGCAGTGGGAAGGTGTATCTTGGGAAACTAGGTCTCCTGGAAACAGACATATGACTTTCTTTCTTTTTTTTTTTTTTTTTTAAGTATTAATCACTTTTAGATATTTTATACATCAGTCATAATAATCTGTATCATATTACTACTTAACAGTATTTATATCAGTGAAATCTATGTTTTAGTTAACAATAACTGCATCATTTGTGACTTCTCAATAGGTATGGTCATTGTTATTGCTAAATTTAGATAGTGTAGACTCATTTCTTTTTCTAAGTTAGCTCCTGGCTTTTTCAGCAAGTTGACACGTTTACATGGTTTTGCATATTGATAGGATGTTTTGAACTTCATTACTACCCTTCAGAACATTCTAATTAAACCAATATCTTGATTTATCTGGTCCAATATTATTGGGATAAAATGTCATTTAAAGACAAGACATTTGTTTTCGGTTATTTTATTATCATACTTAAAATATTAAGCTGAATTCATTTTGGCCAGTTTCTTCTTAAAAAATGTTCAGGAATGATTCTAATTAAACCAATGTCTTCATTGATCTGTTTCAATATTATTGGGATAAAATGTTGTTTAAAAGACAAAACATTTATTTTATCATTATACTTGATATCTTAAAACTGAATTCATTTTGGTCAGTTTCTTCTTAACAAAAATAAACAAACAAAAAAACCCAAAAGCAAACACATGTGTAGAAATGGATTTTCTAAAAATCCAGAGTATTTAAACAGTGTGTGAACAGAATATATAAATTTTTGCTGCTACATTTGTTAGTGATTGCTTTTTTTTTTTTCATTGTCAAATTCCTTATATTTTTGTATTTGAAAAATTCAGTCAACTGCTAAGTGGGTGTCTTATGTAGTAATGGTTAACAAACTGGTCTTGTCAATCAGTGCTACTAAGTAGTAAGTTTAATCCTCACTGTGTTACCAATACTCGTGGCCTTTGCTTAGTAAATAGCTATAGTTGAGCAGTCAGGTGTTACCCCTTAGAAGATATTCATAATGGCTATTTTTTAAGACAACCTTAGTAAAAAAAATTCTTATTTTTTATGAATGTCTAACTATTAACAGCTGTGAATATGAAAATAGGAAATAAACAACCCAAGGACCTAATGCATGGATAAAAGAACACCAAGTGAAAATTAGGATCTGTCATGGCTCTGAGCTGTTTATCAAAGAAACTAATATGGATATTTTACTTGATAAACAACCTGCTGATAATTTGTTTATAGTTTGAGGGGGTGTCTAATCATCTTTGCTCTTGTTATGCCACATAAAATTCTTAACTCTTTTAAAATGAAAAAAAAATAAAAAGGTCATTGAAAAAAAAGAAAAGATCAATTCTTCAGGATGTTGGCAACCATGCTTCTCCATAATTCCCTGTCCCTTGTAGCTCTTAAATTTTTTCTTTTTTGTTATCTCTCCTAAATCTTCCTCTACTATCTATTTATTCAAGCTTGCTAGGTAGGTTATGCATTGTTAACCTCTTGCCTTCAATCTGTCTTGTGAGCATTAAATTTTCCAAACCCTCTTTCTTTATGTGTCCTAGATATTTCAACTTTCTGATGTTAGGCATAATTGTCCTTTTTCTTTACCTTTGTCTCTAAAACTTTGTCATTGCTCACCTGTTTGCTTTATGGTAAAAAATATCAATTAGTTAAATAAAATCATCTTGCAGACTATTATTATTGTAGTGAGTCCAGTCTTTACTGAGTGCCACACAGTTATGGCTTTGTAACAAACTACACTAAGCTTAATAAATATTTGAGCACCTCACCATGGAGTATTATCAATCTTGTCTTGCAAAATATTATTCGTGTAGTAAATCCTGTACTGGTTTTGACCATATCATGTTGAAACAGTGGTTCTCTTTTGATCATTGCAGTTTTAAGCACAGTACTCAGATGGCTAACTGCTGGGGAATATGAAGTGTTGCAAGCTATGCCAATGGCCTAGCAAGACTGCAGCAGTTACCATCTCACTACTTAGACTAACAGAAAACCTTAATATGTGGAGATGCTTCTGGACTGATAGGTCACATCACATGACCTACCTGGAGTTGGGAGAAGATTTCTCTCCTTAAAGGGGTGCCTCATACTTGTGGTCTTATGAGAGAATAAAAAGCACTTTTTTTAATGCCATGTCTCTTCAGGACATAGAAGTATTATGGCCCTCCACAGATTCTTTGTTATCTATGAATTGCCAGGACTTATTAGGAAATATAATGGAGTGATTTTTCCCATTGCCTTCTCCAGGGTTTTGAAATAAGTGTTGTACTTCTCGAAAACTGATTACCACACAAAGTTTGCTATTTAATATATGGCTTTGAGGGAGAGATAAATTCATGCCTTTCCCAAGGGAATTTATGAAGGTGACTGCAGCAGAATAAGGTGGAATTTGGACTCAGCTCAACAATCCACCTTATCATGATGCTAAGTTACACTACCCGTGATACCCTTGATTACTTTATTGCTGTAACAATGGTATCTACAGCAGTTATTTCACTGTAGAATAGTAGTTAGCAAATTAGTATACTCTAATCTTTTTTGATATTACATACTTATGGCTTTGTACTATACCAATGCTAATATGTATATCAGTACTTTTAAAAGTGCAATGCATAATCCATTTAGTCAACCTGAGATCTAGAAATTCTTTTCAGTTGATTGTTATGAAAATGGTCCAACTGAATAAAGAAATATCATAAATCTATAATTGGAATTCTGTAAAAAGAAATAAGACATTTTAGCAGCTTTTGAGCAAGACTCTCATGGAAAATAAGTTTCATATTTTCTAAGAAGAATATTGTGCTAACATACTTTCTCATGTCTTTGCATTCTTAAACATTTTCCATTTTCCTCTAGTCTATGAGAGGTGCTTAAAAGATCTCTGTCCACTCAACTTCCAAGAATCAGTATGTCAGTAACCAAACATCAGAAATGTTCTTTTCTTTTTATTTTGTGAAGGGGAAGTATTAAAGTGACGTGGGAAAATGATGTACCACGTGTGCTGAACTTAAGGATGAATGTGTGAAATAAAATTTACATTTGATGGCTACCCATTATTTTTCTTGGTCAGGCTGAAAACTGCTCAGCAACTTCTTTATGTAATGGCTGCATGTTGGATATTGTTCACTTTTTCTTTTTTCAACCTTTTGGCTTATTCTAAATACTATTTCCTTGAATCATTTCATATTACATTCTAACTCTTTTAGAGCCATAATAGCATTGTTCTTTCTTCAGGGTGCGATGGACAAATTGTTGTCTAAATTATGCAAAAATGAAAATAATACTGGCATCTCATTTTAACAGATATATTTACCAAAATTTCACAAAAATATCTTGAAATACTAAAGAGTAAATTTATTCAATAAAATCACCATTAGCTTCAACTACAGCCTCCAGGCAACTTGGGCATCTACTGCAACTCTTCTGGACAGTCTCATTGTTTAATTTGGTGGATGCTGCCATAATCCTTATCTTCAGTTCATCTTTAGTCTTATAAGGAGTTTTGTTGCACCTCACACATCATAATAAAGGGTATTGCAGTCTGGGGAGTTAGGTGGTCAGATGTAAGGTGTGATGTGGTTGCAGAAAGTGTTTGACAGCAATGACTGGGTCCTCCTGCTTGTGTGGCATAGTGCAGAGTCCTGTTGCTAGACATAGGGTCTTCCAACAGCCACCCTCTAGACCCATGGCAGCATTATCTCCTCAAGGAATGATGTAGACTTCCATGTTTAGTCTGAGGCCCTGTGAGAAGATGAATGGAGACATCATGTCGCCATCACTAGTGACCACTCTAAATACCTTCATAATCATCATTAGACTCTTTCCAAATCCTCTGTACTGTCCTCAGATTGATACCCAAACACTCTGAAATGTTTATATTGGAGATTCTGGCATGAATGCCAAGCAGTACAGCATAACATTGCCAAATTTCTGGTAGAGTGAATTGCGTCATGGTGTTCTTTTTCTCACAGACAGTATCCAACTGAGCCCACTATACTGCGAAGTTGACAAAATAAAAAAGAACAAACGAAAAAACAATGTACATGCATGCCATTAAAAATATATAATGACGACAATTTACCCATCGCACCTGTATTTCTATTCTGTAATATTGAAAGTTTTTCTTTAAGCTATTATGAAATCTCTCTATTATCTTTTGTCTTTATGAGCAATTTGCATTGAAACACCAGTTCTCATAAGATCACTAACATTAAGCAATGTTGCACCTGGTCAGTACCTAGATGGGTGACCACTTGTGAATACCAGATGCTCTAAGCTTGGATGTGCAGGTGGTGTAATGGATAATGAATTGTTAATCAGAGAACCAATTTGCAATTCCCATTGGGTTTATTATATTCACTTGGGTTTAAATACCTTTGGGAAAGTCTGAATCCATATCCCCCCCCCCCAGCTATGAGTTAATTAGTAAAACTTGTATCATTAAACCATTATTATCTAAAAAAAACAAATTATTACAATCTAAAGATATTTTCTGGCATTAAATAACCTGCAGAAAGCAAATCAATCCATCGCTCTTAATTTGACATATTTATTAAGTAAACTGTGTATATTTTCTTGTTTGTTAATTAAATATTGTTTGAATACCAATTTTTTAATACTTTCACCCTTATATATATATATATATATATATATATATATAAAATATGTGTGTGTGTGTGATTTTATATGCAATGTGATTTACTTTTTTTAGAAATGGGATATTCTGTTATTATAACCGGATATATTACTTGATGCCAATAAGTAATATGATGCATTTTTTAATTTTTTTTGCTTTATAGCTTTCTATGAAATATTTTTATTTTAAGGATTTAACATATAAATTCTTTCTTACATATAGCAATAAAGTTTATTGTATAGCTAAAAATATCCTAAAAAATATAACCACTGTGTGTGTGTGTATATAATATATATTAACAACACCTAAAAACAAACCCCCTTGAAGATGCCTAAAGAAGTGGCCGAAAGTACTTCGGGCAATGGACAAATTTTGCACTCACTTACTTCCATCAAATGAAAATATAGTGTATATTTATTGGTTAAAGTGATCAATATCAGCAATAGAGCATATGTGAATATAAAAGTGGACATTGAAGTCAGCACCCAGAGACAGTCTGTTTCATGCTAAACACAATAATGGACTGATAATTGCGTTTAGCATGAAACAGACTGTCGTCTGTGGATGTTGACTACAATGTCCACTTTTTATATATATATATATATATATATATATATATATATATATATATATAGTTCAATCATTGACAATATTTTGTAATTTTTTGTAGTAATCAGCTTTATCCAAAATTACTTATGTATTAGCATTATCAGCTCGTCTGATGAGGATATTGGGGTATAGCAGTTCACCCAGAGCTGAGAGACCTACTCAAAGCTGAAGGCTTGAAGAACCACTTCCCTGGCAGCAACCACAGTAATATCTTAACAACAAAACTAAAAAAGTCCATGAAAGAGCTAAAAAACAACATCGTCATCAGATGAGCTGATAAAGCTAATACATACGTAATTTTGGATAAAGCCGATTACCATAAAAAAATTACTAAATAAATATGTGTGTGTGTGTATTTATCAGCAGTCCCTCTTTTATACAGGTTTTATTTGAGATGACTGACAAAGCACTGCAATTAAGTTTTTTTATTATATTTTTCTTTTCAAGAGATTTGGAGGGGAGGGAGTTTTTACATACTCTATGCCCAGAAGAGAAATCTCTTGTATACATGTGAGAAAAATATAAAAAAGAGTTTAATTGCAGTGCCTTATCAGTCATCTTTAATGAAGCACACACACACACACACACACACACACACACACACACACACATATATATATATATATATAATAGAGAGAGAGAGAGAGAGAGCAGAAGCCATTGTTGGATAGACTATAGCTAGTAAAAGGTAAGCCATATCAATAACATCACTCATTAATTTTTTACTAATATACTCATCATATATGTCCATAACAGTAGAAGGAAAGACAATTGCAAAGTCAAACATTTGTTCAATTACCAGACCATATGATAATGGAGAGTTGTTTAACATATTGAGAAGGGTAGCTTTTGAAGCTCCAACCTTGTCACCTTCTCTAACAAGTCAAACATGATTTATTGAAATCTTGAATGATGTTTGTCTTATTAGAGAAGGCATCAAGGTTGGAGCTTCAGAAGCTAACATCTCTATTCTTATATGGTCTCTGGTGAATGAACTAAGTTTGATTTTATATATATATATATATATATATATATATATATATAACAATGCATTTCTCTCTTAAAATATTACTGGCAGATAAAACAAAGTAAAGGAGTTCAGCCAGAAATATTGTGGAAAGTAGTAGTGAGAACTAAATCATATAAAGTTAGGGTGAAAGATGTCATCATTGCCTTTTGGAAAAACTTACCAGCTATAAAATATAGATAATCTGAATATGTTGAAGAAAAGAAGTGAATTAATGGTTACATATAGACATAAAAGCAAATATCTGTTAAAAAATGTTGAACCAGATTGGTAACTACCATTACCACACATGTTTTTAATTTACTTTTATTTTTATTTTTTTCTCCCACATGAAAATGGATTGCTCCATTATCATGCCAGTAGCCTATAAATAAAGAAGAGTTTTGTTGAACATTTTTAATTGGGGCCTGACAATTGCTATATGCATGAAAAAATGAGTAGCATTCTATATATGATGTGTACATATATATATAGGTATATGACTCGGTTATGAGGTCAGTCCCTGGATATGTCAGTGCTGAAAAGTTGCTTGTTCTGGTTTAATGAAAGATTTGGATAAGCTATACAAAAGTGAATAAGACTGTTTAGTATTAACTGATATGATTTGCCTGACTGATTTATATTTTATAGCTTTTTTTTTTCCAAGCATTTCACCCCAAGCAAGGCAGGATGCCATTAGCACGCAAGGGGATACAGAGAGTGGGAGCAAGAGTAAAGAGGTGTGATAGAGGAAAGGATGAAGAGAAGGACAGGGAAAAGATCAAGGCATCTGGAGATGAGCTTGTCAACTCTTTGTGGGTTATTTAAAGCCAAAATCTATCTTGGACTGTAAGAGGTTGCTTACAGTACCCATTGTTCCCAAATTACTCATCTGTGTACTCAAAACTGTTTAAATTTGTGATCAAACAAGGACTGATCCTAGTTAACTGATATGAAATATCCCCTTCAACAAAGTGAAATAAGAACAATTTAATCCTGTCAATTGATTTAAACTGTTGAGTTTTGTTCAGAATTCTGAAGAGATTTCTAAGTTTGGTGACAGGCTCCTAAAGGGGCCTAGACAATAAAACAGCCAAAATGTTGTGAGTATAACAACTAAGATGAGCATACTGGTTTGAATTATAAGCCATATCATAATAATGTAAAGATCATAAGGTGTATTGACAATAACAATTTTTTATGTCAAGCTTCAAAGATTGGGTTTAATCCAGTATATTAATCACTAAGCTATCACCTAGTAAAATAACATTCTACTTCACATAATAAAATATATTACAAAATAAAATATAGTAGGGATATTTAAACGTACACATTTATTTACTTTGCTTAGTACAAGAACACAGTCTTGAAGCACTCAGTGAAAATTCAACTTATTGCACTATGAAACTTACCTGAGATGAGCTTGCTGAGTATTACACCTGCCTTAGGCATCTAGACACACACACACACACACATACACATACATTTCCTTCTCTCTCAAGATGTGTGTCTGTATAGATATACTCAAACCCACGCATTTATGATTTTAATGACTTATTTAGGTTAATATAATTTTTATTTCTCTTTGTGTTTCTTTATCTCTTATTCATTTATGACCCCCCCCCACTTCCTTATAGTTTATTGAATAATCTTTGTGATTCTTCGGCAATCATTAGCAAAAAAGAAAAAATTAAAATTATGAGAAAGCAAAAATATTTTTCCAAACAAAAATTTAAAGACTCAGTATTTAGGCAAAAGCTTTTTATCATGTTTTCATATTTTCATCTGTTTATATTTTGACAGTTTTTTTTTTCCTCATTGAGATAGAGACTCCATACATATTTACACTCTATTCACAGAAACAGATTCAGGCATACATATACACACACGCTCACAGATTCAACACTCCATTTAAAGAAACATTCAACGTGCACACACACACACACATATACATTTACATATAGTCTATTCACAGAAACATGTATACACATGCACTCCATTCAGAGAAACAGATTCAGACAAATGCATGCACATACACTCTTACTCTATTCATAGAGATAGATTCAGGTGTACATACATATACACACACACACATGCACTCCATTTACAGAAACAGTTTCAGGCATACACACACACACACACACTCCATTCACAAAAACAGATTGCAACTCACATAGATAATAGAAAAGAAGCCATAGAAAGTAAAAATCCTTCATTTACATTTACTTAATAAATTCCTTTTATATTTTTACCTTTATATTTCAAGATTTTGATATAACAAATAAAATATTTGTATAAACATGAATTTTCCTACTGAACTAACAATATATTCTGAATTTTATAGATATCAAAATATTAACTGATACATTATACAATCATAAATATTTCTAATATTATTTTTTTTTAAATTAAAATATTTACATATATGTATGTGTAAAATATCTATATTTATTTTGGTTCCACAAATAATATGCAAACTTCTTATTTCTATATGTAGAACAAGTGTTCAGACTTGCTTGAATAATTTATTATGGAGGTATGTGTTAAGAGTCCTTGATTTTGTTGTATAACAATGAAGCAAACTTTTCAGAATTACACAGCATGAATGAAAGCATTTTAACAAAGGTACGAATTAGTTGCTGCATAATGATGCAAAAAACAGAACAGGTGCACAGTACATCACTAACAGATAGGAAAAAATATGATTTGAAGTGATCAGAATAGAAAATTCGAAAATATACATGATTAATGCTATAAAGAAAATACATATTTATTGAAAAGTGAGGAAATTGAACTGGGAAAAAAATCACCATAAATGGGAATTTAAAGAAGAAAATATTTATTAATAAAAAGAAAATGGAGAAAAAAATATTAGAAAAAGCTGACCAGTTCTTGTTTCTCTCTCATCAAAGTTTGATCGAAGAAACAAAACATTTGTGCATTACAACTAAAAATGGGGAAACTGAGGGTAAGAAATACACATATATTAATATATTGGTATATAGATGCACCTAGATAGC